GGAGATGAGTTTCTCCTCTTGGTGTAGGCAAGGCTTCAGCTATTTCCCCTCCCATCAGTGTACTCTTGGAGGGAAGTTCTAATCTCTTGGGATTCATTCTCAATATCATGATAGCCAAAGAGGAACGCTTAGCTTAAGTTCAGTCATACCAGACAGGCAGATGGGGCAATTACAAGGCTAAATCCAACCATTTCATCGGTTGTCCATGAATTATTTTTTATGGACCATAGCCACTCTGCATCTTTTAAATGGACTTATCCCTTTTGGAAACGTAAGCGTTAACTTGTCTGCCCTCACTTCCTATTCACAAACTGGAGCACCACCACACCATCTCCTTTGAGTTCCCTTGACCTCCTGGGACAGAGAGGATGATTTTGGTGACTGTCACTTCCTTCTTTAAAGTCTTCCAGTACTTTAGACTGTCCATATCCAACCCCAACTCATCCTCTATTCCTTTCCTCCTGTTTGATCTGTGCAACATGCCCTCTTAGGGTATCTGATTCTTAGTCTCTCTTCCTGTCTCAGAAAAACTCTTGGCCAGGATTAGTCTGGCCCTGTCTTCAGAACCTTTGTCCACATTTTGCCACCTCTTTGCTTCTTGACATAATTCCTTAATGACAACTAAATTTGAGATTCCCCCAAATATGCAATTTGCCTTTCTTCATGACTCCGTACTTCATCCAGTGTAAGGGCCTCTACAGCAGTCGACTCTTGGAGGAGGATGGCTGTACTTACAGTGAACTCCTTGAGAATATGTTTTACACATTAATCACAAACACACCATACATAGAATTCCCTAAATAACCTTGGGTTCTGAACTCATAACTTATCTCCTTGAAAATGCCTCCAGTCCATGTGCTAGGAGGCTGGGTGGGGTTTGGTTTGTCTAACAACCAAATTGAATTAGAAGGCAGGAAAAAAGCTTGGACACCACAGACAGCAACAGGTAACAAACTTTATTACAAATGAAACACACATACACACATAGAGACACACATATATACACATACAAAGGAAAGCTTGCAGAAAGGAGACTTGGGACCAAAAATCTATTCTTCTTTAAAGGGTTGAGGTTTTAAGTGGTTGGGGTGGCCTAGGATGGATCCCTTCCCCTAACTTTGGGTTAGCCAACATAAACAAAAGAAATGGGAGCCGTAGTGACATCACTGGCTTTACGAGTATCTGACCAGCCTGGTCAGCCTCGTGTAGGGCCCTGTTGACTGGAGGAAAAGCTCACCACGATTTTGTTTCAGCTGAGGAGGATGAGGAAAAAGCTAACATTTGGACTTCTTTTATCATTATCTGTGGCCCTTCCCTGGTCTAGTTGTCAGGGATCTGTCTCTTTCCTAGTCAGGCCTGCACAGATGAAAGATGACTTCCTACTCTCAGTGGCTCTTTCAGTTAAGTTGAGAGTCTTCAAGATGCACAGGTTTCTTTCAGAAACGCAGCCCACACCATGTGGTTCTGCAGCTCAGAAGCCTCGGTGGCTCATTAGAGAAGTCTAGGTCCCTATAACATGCTCTGAGGTTGGGTGCTGAGCTTCCTTCCGCTCACTTGTGCATTGACTTGCTGTAGGATTGCAACCTGTGTGCTTGTGTCCCCTCCTGGGGTCTTTGGTTATCCTGTATGTTGCACAGCATTCTCTTCTAAATGCTTTGTTTCCCTTCAAATTCTAGTTCAAGTGCTCATCTCCCCTGAGTCCTCCTTTAATTCATCCCTTTGAAATTAGTCTTTTCAAACCTCCAAACTTCTGTGGTTTGATAACCATGCCTCATATAGCACCTCCCACTCATTGTGGTTTGCATTCCTTACCTGGGTGCAGCCTCAGAGATCAGCCTTGAGCCCAGCACGTACAGGATGACTGGCCTAGTGAGCATATGAATCCAATGTGGGGCTTTTATTTTCCTCAGGAACTCAGCTGGTAGGACACCCAACTAGCACAGGGTAGACCAGGGTGCTGGGATTGACCCTATCTTCTTCCAAGGGTGATGAAATTCATTTACATGTAGACTTCTCCCCTCTTCCTCTCCAGGGGCCAGTTTCTCACCATTCACCAGTGGGGTTGATGTCAGCCTCCCTGGAATCCTGTTTGCCCGCTTGTTGTTTGTATAGAGCAGTGCAGGTTCTAGTCTGGAGGCCACTTGTCTGGCTGTCAGGATGAGCTGTATCCTTGTTTGCCATCAGGGAGCTACACACCAATGGCACAGTACCTGTCTTGTCTGCACTTATGCTTTCTTATTTCCCTTTACCAGCAGGCAAACTCACAGGATCTGCTTCAAGGATATAGTCATAGTTACAAAGGGAAGGAGAGCGCAGGGCAATGGCTCCTGGTAAAGCAGGCATTTGTAGCTCCACAACCCACATAAAAGCTGGGTAAGCACAGGAGTTGGCTAGGTGGAGTAGCTTGAGTGATAAGCTCTAGGCTCAGCAAAGAGAGTGATCAAGGAAGATGCTCTGTAGTAAATTCAGGCCTCCACATGCATATTCATGTGTGCCCACACAAGTACAAACACACACAACCACACACACACACACACACACACACACAGAGAGAGGGAGAGAGAGAGAGAGAGAGAGAGAGAGAGAGAGAGATTGATTGCACAGGGCTGGCACACCACAGGCATTTGGGCATGGGAGTAGGGTGGGAAGGTACTGGAATGGGAGGCCCTTGTTAACTTATGGGTCTGGGCTTATCAGCTAGCACTTCCTGGGCTGCCTGTAGCCCACACATGATGATGCTGTTTTGGAAGAGGCAGGGATTGCAGCAGTAGCTTTGGAAGTTATAAAACATACAAGGCATAGATTAGGAAACTAGAAAGTTGTGCTTTCTCTTGTGAATATTGTCATTTAAGATATGCTTAAAGCTAGAGTCTAACTTAGGTCCTCAGCCATGCTGAGCTCTGTGACTTCATGCAGGTGACTTGGTCTTTCAGTTTCTCAACTTCATCTCTAAAACGAAAATAATGAGAATGCTTTATAGGCTTCCTGGGACTGCTAAATGATAGAATGTGTTGAAAGCTTTGTCTACCCGCCTGGCTAGTAAGAAGTGTTAGGTAATACGTTCACATGTTTTCAGTACTCCTGGTTTTACCACCACTCTTGCTTCCAGTGAGCAACCTGAATTGCCTGCAGTGTCAACATTTAGTATTAAATAGCTGACGCCCCTTAAGAGAGGCATCATCTTCCCAGGTTGTAGCTGCCGTTTCATGCCGCCTCGCAGCTGCCCTGCTCTCTTACTGACAATGTTGCTTTGTCTCCGGTTGATTAACCTAATCTTAGATACTCATTTCCAGGAGAGCTGGGCAGCAAGTCAGTTGTTTTTATGTGGCTCAGGGTGGCCTGAACTTTGTACCTCTCTCTATAGACCAGGCTGGCCTCAATTTCATCCTCCTGCCTCAGCAGCCTATATTTAGAATAATAGAAGCTGGATTGTCAATCGGCTTCAATGGGAAATATGGGCCTTCACAGATATTTAGGGGCATGATCCTAAATGTGTAGATCAAACTCATGGCACCAGTGTCACCTGGAAGCTTGCACCAAGTGTTGCTGGGGCATTTGCAGCAATCTGAGTTTTAGGGTCTTCCCAGCCAATTCTGGTAACCACTAAAGCATGTGACCTCTAGCACATGTGTCCTTTATTATGTACATTGGGTCTCCAGTGAAGTTTAGAATGTTCAGATCTGTTCCTAGGCCCTTCAAATGCTTTGTAAATTCTGTAGTAACTAGGGCTAGTATCTTGTAAACCTGTTCCTCTCTTAGACAGACACTGCATGGCCTGGGCTGTCCTGTTTTGGTGATTTCTCCAGTTGAACTGTGTGGGAACTGACCTGCAGGGCTCTTCTCCATACGGTGACTTTGTCACTGTCATCCAGCTCATGTCACTGAGCTGAGAGTCATCATTGCATCTCCACCCCGCCCCTGTTCCCATGGTAGAGTAACTTCCTGTGGTTTTTCTACAATGTTTCCCTGTGTGGTAATTACACTCCTGTCGTTTCCCCTCATAGAAGATGTTTAGAGGCCTCACCCTAATTATCCAGTACAAATAATTATATCTTAGCTTTTTGACAAAAGCCCACAATTTTGCCATGAGTTCAGCTCATACTGCATCAGAGTGCTATTTTATTTTAAAAGTTTTTGAGTTTATTAAGAAAGGGTCTAATTCAGATTTAAGCACAGGCCTGTGGGGAGCTGAAGAAGAAGACAGGGTACACAGTGCTGTACTCTGTCCCAGTGCAGACCAAGCTTCTGAAGGCTCAGCATTACTTTTTTTTTTTTTTTTTTCATTCCTTGCAACTTGTTTGTGGCCAAGTTATATATCCTGCCATTTTGTAAATATGCTAGAGTTTTGAGTCCGCCTTGAGAGCTTAGCGGTTTCCTTAGGGAATGTAACTTTAAGATAGGCCTAACACACCCCTTCTTTAGGTTCCTGGCAACCTTGTTGTACAGACTTGATCTAAAGGAGAGTTTGGGATTTCGGATATGCTGCAGTTACCGGTTTGACTTTCCCAGTTAGTGGATAACTGAAGCATTGTGTCAGCAGCCTGAAAATTCTAGTGGTGAGCTATTCAGTCTCCTTGTTTCATTAGTGGTCCTTCCTACCCCGGTGGGTGGCATTGCTCGTCAGCTCTAGCACACACACTATAGGAAAGCAACTATAGAGAGTACAAGAACTTAAGCTACCATTTAAAAAATATTGCCTTTTGCTTCTGGGTGCTGGGGATCAAATCTAGGATCTTGTACATGCCAGGCACGGGTTCTACCAATGAGCCACACGACCTGTCCTGGAAACCTACTCTGTTAATGGTAAATCAGTAGGAGTTGGCTGCTTTCTTTTTACTTTTGTAGTGCATTAAAATAAGACCCATTTGAGCTAGGTATTTTGATTGCATGCATTTAATCCCAACACTCTACTTGGGAGGCAGAGGCAGGTGGATCTTAGTGAGTTCCAGGACAACCAGAACAAATAGTGACACCCTGTCTTTAAAAAAAAAAAAAGCCCCTTTTGATTTGTTTTAGCAAATTTTATTAATTGCACAGTGCACACTTTAGTGAATTATTCTGAATCAATGCCATAACTAGTTGAGGAATGATGTCATACAGATGAGGAAGTGACTGGGCTGGAGGAATAGGGGGAGGTTGGGCAGGTGAAGTTAATAAGGGATAGCAACTTTGGGTTTCACCAATCGATAGGAACTTATAAAGTGAGTCAGACGGAATGTTCTATCTACAGTGGAGTGCAGACAAAACACGTCATATTAAACTGAGCCTGTAAAGGGGGTCCAGGTTAGCAAATGATTGCAGAAAGGCAAGGAAGTTCTCTTGCCTCTGTGGCCCCTGAGGCCAAGGAAGGAGAGAAGCCTGTATTTCATATTATAGGCACAGTTAGAGGAAGAGTCCTCATGTTCTCTAGAAAAGCCAGCATCACCCTCCACATATTTTACTTTTATTTTCTTAAACCCATAAAGAGATCCAGGGAAGTAGATGGGCCCAAATAAAATGAACCAGGTTTTGAAAAATCTTCCCACATGGATATTACTAATCACAGGGCAACCATTCCATAGCTGATATGCACTAAGGATATCTAGGATATCTGCAGTCTTTTTTTTTTTTTTTTTTTTTTTGGTGGGAGACTAGGGGAAAAACTTTGGAAGATAATAAAAATCTGTGATTTAGCTGTCTTTTAAAGAACCCTGTCTTTGGGAAATGTGGCCAAGAATTAAAGCAACTAATATAAGACAGTATGTAACAAGGACCCTAATATATAGACAAACAGTGAGGGAAATAATTATTTTCCAACAGTGTACAGATGCTGTTGCCCAGGAAGGTTTTGCTGACTGACAGCACTTCCCTGCTTTCAGATTATACATGGCTGTGAACTGGCTTTGCCTGTTGTATGTGCCTCTATCCCGCTGCCCTGTTTAGATGTAGGAGCAACACTTTGCACTTGTAAGGAGACAATCTTTTGAGATTCCTGGGGTTATTTTGACCCACTTTGGTTCCTCAGACTGCCTCTCTTTCAGCCCCCACCTTAGCCTTTTCTACACAGGCACTGGATATGCAGGTTTGTTGGTTTATGTTCACAATATCAACATTCTGAAGGCCGTAAAACCCCATGTGATGTCTTAGGAATTGTGTGAGAGAATGTGGGTCGGTAACTAGAAGGGAGGTTTTTCAGGCAAACCTGTTTCCCATTAACCTTTTCCATATTACATGAATGCTCTTGAAATGGTGACATCTAGTGGCCATTTGCTTTATTACACATTTTCTTAATGTTAGTTCATCCCGTGTATAAATACATCTATCTATGTGGTGAAAATGGGCATAATCTTTTCTATACACGAGGATAGTAAAATGTAGGAAACTGTTTGTTCCCCTCTTCTTTCTGTAATGCTTAAGTGAAGTCTCCGAGTAAACGGTATTTTGAAGTCCCATCCTTAGATAGATGTGAATCCATGCATGAAATTAACCTGTGGGACAAAGTGGTCAGGCTAGGGTGATGTTGTCTGTCTGACTGCTGTGGTGCTCTTCGCTTGATGCTGCTGTCCTTGTCCTTCTCCATCTCATACATGGTACCTTTTGTGTGAACTTCTTACATAAGATTATGTATATTAAGGGGTCCATACAAATGTTAGTTGTTGCCAGAAAGAGAGTTGCTTCTTTAGCAATAAACAGCTGGTTTTCTAATCTACAGTCAGTCTTATTGATGGTCTGACTGTAGGTGTATGGTACTCTGACAAAATGAAATGGCGCAAAGCAGACAAAGAAGACAGCCATGACGATAAATACCTTCACCTCCAGCCGTTTGCGCTTGCCCTCCTTACTGTTAAACTTCCTATAGGAGTTGTATACCTTTTTGGCAATCACCACATAAAACAGAAGCATCAGAATAAACACAGTCCAGAAAATGAACTGGCATGTGTGACTGACCACTTGATGCCACAGCAGCCCCAGCGGACTCTTTAAGGATGCACACTTCTTCACGGATGGCTGCGTTGCCTTCTTGTTCAAGATCATGTTTGGAAGGGAGAGGAGGAACATCAGGAACCAGATGACAGTCGTGACTATTTTTGCGAACGCAGTCTTTTTCACAACAGTTTTCCTAAACGGTATGATGATCTTGAGGAATCTGTCGAAGGCGATGAGGCCCAGCATCACGATGCCTACATACATCGCCTCATAGAAGACCACAGAGGAGAAAGTGCACACAAACCCTCTGAGCTGCCAGGGTGCAAGGTGGGAGTCAGAAAGGATTTTGAAAGGAAGCATTAGCGTCATTATCAGGTCTGCCACTAGAGTGTTTTTGAGGTAGATGATAAAGGTGGAATTACTGGGGATGTGGATGAAGACCCAGAAGGCCACGGTGTTGAGCAGGATGCCTGTCAAGAAGACCACAGTGTAGAGCACTGGGAACAGCAGCTGTGTCATCCGAGTGTCCCTGGGGCACCGCTCAGACTTGTTGAAGCCCTGCATCCCAGTGGTGTTGACTGTCTCGAACATCAGCTGTTACACATAAACATGCACACAAAGAAAGGTAAACAAAGTCCTCGTGAGTCGGCAAATAACTGCTTTAAAAAAAATCTTATTATTTAACTCATTTAGCAGATTCAATTCTTTGGCTAGAATTTTTTGAGCACATGTCTTAGATTTTTGATGTTGTTGTTGGTTGTTTTTTTGTTTAGTTTTTTTTAAAGTCCCATTAATGTCTATCCTTGTGAAATACAAACAGCAAGCACTAATCATTACATGACAGTAGCATAACCCAATTTAAGATGTCAGAGTACAGGGCAGTTTGTCATACATTCTGTAGTACCTAATGCTTATAGCCTGTGATTACAGAATATTATATTTAGATTTTTTAAAATATGTAACCACATTCTATGTTTTATAGCAAGCAAATTCATAAGAAAAATTAAACTGACCTTTCTTTGGGAAGACACTCGGCTGTATGAGTTGTGGCAGTCATTAGCGCAACCCACGAATAACTTGTGAAGTAAAGGTTCTGCTTTCTTATACTGGCTTTCCTTCCTCATTTCCCCTTGCGGGCTTCTGTAATACCCACATTTTCTAGAACCTCTTTGTTTTTAGACATTTGGAGCATTTGCCAGTAGTAGCTATTTGTTGCATGTGCTGAGTACTGAATCCAGTGCTTTCCCTGGCTCTGCAGGCACACCACTACTCAACCATATTCTTAACATGTGGGAAATTTTATTAGAGTAAATTATATGTATAAGGGTGCATATGCATTCAGGTGCCCTCAGAAGCCAGAGGTGTTGGATTCCCTGGAGCAGGAGTTCAAAGTGCTTGTGAGCCACTGAAGTGGGTGCCAGGAGTATGCTTTTAACCACCGAACTATTTCTCCAACCCCAATGTTTACTTTTTATTATTCATGTTCAGCAACCTTATTGAATACCTCATATGTAATGATAGGAGTTAAAATATTGAAGAAAATAGTACGGAATTACAATCAAGTAGGAGGATAAGATGTGATTTGAAAATCAAATCATCTTCTGTACCCTTGCAGCCTGGGCTTTCGAGAAGTTTGTATGTGGAAGGATAGAGTCATCGTTGTTGTTGTTTGTTTGTTTGTTTGTTTTGTTTCTGCAGACATTGCTGTTAGTTTTTTGATCCCAAGATCTGTGCAGATCATGTGTCACATTTCCTAAGATGTGGTAGCTACCATCCCTGGACTTGTGGATTATTTGATATTAGGTTTAAACAAATGTTTTAAGAGCTATATACCTCATTCCCTCATGTAGCAAGTTTGAAATCATCTACTTCATAGGAGTGTGGGGTAGGGGATCGGTGGCCCAACACTGGACATATCAGAGAACACTAAACATGCCAGCTGCTCATTGCTTAGGTTTCTTGAATTGCCACTTTGAGTGAAGATACTGTGTGACACTTTTAGGAAGCCCTTTTGGGAAACCACCTACGTTCTTGAGACCTCGAGAATTTTTGAATCAGTGCTGGACTAAGATCTGTATAGTGTTTTGTTTTAAATCTCAGGGAGTGTACAGAAAGTTAGCATGTGTGAGAGTGTGCTTCCCTGCCAGACAGATGAAGGGAAAGAGGAAATTAGATGCTCTTACGGAGGATGTGTGGTTATCTATGGTCAGTTTCACTTCATAGTTCTTGCCACACGCTTACGGTAGAGATGGACCATCTTCAGGGTTTGGCTAACTAGAAAATCCTATATTACTTAGTTGAGGATTTGGAACACATTGATTCCACACTTGAACTTTTTTTTTGTTTTTTTGTTTTTGTTTGTTTGTTTTTGTTTTTTGAGACAGGGTTTCTCTGAGTAGCCCTGGCTGTCCTGGAACTCACTCTGTAGACCAGGCTAGCCTCGAACTCTCGAACTCAGAAAACCGCCTGCCTCTGCCTCCCAAGTGCTGGGATTAAAGGCATGTGCCACCACCGCCCGGCCTCACACTTGAACGTTTTAAAATGGAATATTCCTGGGAACTTTGATTAGCTCTAGGGAATTTTAAAAATTTAAAAAATTTTCTCTTTGGCTAAAGTACTTAGGATTTCACAGATGTAATGCCCCTTAAATATATATCCTTTTGCTTCATAAGAAGATAAAACCCCAGCAAAATCAAATTTAAAGCATAGGTTTGTTGTCAGCTTCCACAGTCAATTTTAAATTTTTCAATAGCCCCCAATCCAATATAACAACAAAGGTCTGGAAAATTTTACTTTAAACAAGGGAAATTCTGTACAGGATAACTTCATAATATGAGAAGTAGAAATCACGTTTTGGTCAAATTTCAAAATGCCAAATGTGGGAAACTTTGAAAAGAGGAACTGGTTAACAAAGATCATTTCTAAGGTCACAACGGTACATTCTTTTGTGTGTGTGTGTATGTGTGTTGTTCCTTCAATGAGTTAGTTATATCTTTCTAACATGTGGGTCCCATGGATTGAACTCTACATGGTCATGGTTGGTCTTCAGTAGCTGAGCTGTCTTCCTGGCCCTAACATACTACATACTTTTAAAATGAGAGCTTCAAAGTGCTTCCCGTGGTAAGTACATTAAGCATCTTTCCAAAATAGTGTTGATAGAGACCACCACAAACCCACCACTGGCCCTAGAGTTTGAGCTTAGAGCCTGCCTTGTCCGATCCCCACCCCATCCCTAAGATATCAGCAGGATGAATCTGGAATGGTTTACCCTATTCTGTAGACCTTATGCCAAGAGTTAATGATTGATAGAGGAAAAAGAAGCTGAACAGACTTGTAGTTCTGTCTGGTACACACTCAGGTTTAAAGTTAGATTTGTAAATTGTCCAACCAGTATGGTCAGATGGGGCAAACTAGTCAGTAATCGAAGCTGTTCACACCCACTTCCTTTTCTAGACTTCCAGGATTCTGGAGATGTATCAAGGATAAGAGCAAAGGGACTTCTGTTGACGTTGTTAATATGTATAATGTAATAATATTGCAAAAGTTGAAGTGTTTGCTTTCATTTTTATTAAGGATGTAAGTTGAAGTAGGAACTCATATATTTCTAGGAGAAACCTCTCATTTACTCTGAAATATACTGAGGTACTTTCCTTAGATCATGTGAAATTGTTTTAAACTTTCCGATTAGCGTAACCAAAAGTGATAATATGTTAAATACACGATGTAGTTTACAAGCAGATGTCTTGAACTATTGGGAAGTGAAAAATCAGTCTTGGAAAAAATCTCCTCGTTTAACTGGAAACAGGCAATAAATTCACAACAATACTTGAAATGCTTAATATTTAGTTACACTGATTTTTTCATAAAAGAAAGCATATGTTTAAAAATTAAATACATAGGAGATGATCAGTAGGTAAAGAGCTTGCCACACAAGCGTGGAAGAATCAGTGTAGATCTCCAGAACCCATATGAAGCTAGACACAGTAGTATGTATATGTAATTCTGTCACTTGTATAGTGAGACAGGGGATGTGGAAATAATTCTCTAGAAGCATGCAGGCCAGTTAGCCTGGGATATGCAGCAGTGAAAAGGAGACTCTATCTCAAACAAAATGGCAAGTGGTGTCTGACACCTGAGGTTGTCTTTTGATAACTATATGTGTGTTCTAGTGTACACAGGCACACACTCACGTGGGAACACACACGCATGTACACACATGCACACGCATACTCAAACAACTATTTGAAAACTCTAAATACCAGTGCATAGATAGCAAGAAGTCATCTATATTTATACTAGTGTATACATATTTCTGGTTAAATAAATAAATAAATAAATATGCTTATATAAATATAAAATTTATAAACATAAATTGGATTTTCTTTAGTCTATGTTAGCACATAGACACTGATCAAAATAATAAACACAACTTTCTCATTTTAGTTAAACTGCTACTGATGGACATTTAACTTGCTTGACTTTTGGAGCTGTTACTGCTGAACATATGTATTCACGTACTCTTGTATGTTTGTTTTAACGTATTTGTAAGAATGGCTGGATCAAGAGCTATGTGTCAAAATGTTATATGATATTTTCAAAAAGATTTCTATAAGGAGTGTATCAATTTATACTCCCACTGAAGATAGCTTTCTCTAATCCTTACTAAAATATTTTAAGTCAATTTGAAAATTATAAGTAAAGTGCACTGTGCCATGTAAGTATAGATTTATAATATAAGGTCATATTTCCTTTTATTTTCAAGTTGTCCATTTACTTCTGAAAATTGCCTTCTAATGTTCTTCCCATTTTGTTAAATCCATCTGTCTCTTGGTGCTTGTGATTAGCTGTGTATCCACATCTTCAGTTCCCACTCGTGACCCTAATCCCACGGTGGCAGGTGCTCACAGGCTATGCAATAGCTGCAGGTGTGGTGAGAGGGCTCTGTCTCTGATGTTTTATTTCTGTTGTAAAAGCTGTAATTCAAGGGTTGACAAGATTATATATATATTTTTAAAGGGCTGTGGTTTTAAGAGATTCCCACTGAATGGTCCTCCTTGTCACAGCCCAGCTCTACTGTTGTGTTATGGAAGTCTTAGATATTCAGTCTGCACAGTGTGTCTGTGTTGTTGGGAAGCCTCACTGTAAACATTGGAATCCCCCCTCCCCCCGCCAAAGGTGGAAAAATTGTATATTTTTAATTAAGTCATTTATTTATTTATTTATTTTCATCCCAACTCTGTTTTTTACCTCCCTCCTCTCCTCCCAGTCATCCCTTCTCCCAGTCCACTTCTCCCTTCCCCTTCAGAAAAGTGGAGCTCTCGGTTGATATCAACCAGCCTTGGCTTGTCAAGTTGCAGTAAGACTATGTGTATCTTCTCTTATTGATGCTAGATGAGGCAAATAGGAAGAAAAGGTCCCAAAAGCAGGCAACAGAGTCAGAGTTAGCCCCTCCTCCTGCTGCTGGGAATCGCACTTGAGGACCAAGCTACACAACTGTAGCATATATACAGAGATCCTAGGTTAGTCCCATGGAGGCTCCTTGCTTGCCAGGTCAGTTTCTTTGCGACCCTATGGGCTTGAGTTTGTTGATTCTGTGGGTTTTCTTGCAGTATCTGTGATCCCTCTGGCTCCCTACAATCCTCCATCTCTTCTTCTGTGGGATTCTGCAAGCTCCGCCTAATATTTGGCTGTGAATCTCTGTATCAGTTGCTGGGTGAAGCCTCTCTGATGGTGATTATGCTAGGTTCCTGTCTGCAAGTATAGCAGAATATCATTAGCATTGTCAGGGCTAGGCCCTCTCTTATGGCATGGGTCTCAAGCTGGAACAGTAATTGTTTCTCACCACTCCCTCAGTCTGTGATCCATCTTTACCCCTGTATATCTTGTAGACAGGACAAATTGTAGTTCAAAGGTTTTGTGTCTGAGTTGGTGTCTTCTTTCCTTCATTGAGAGACTTGCCTGGTTACAGAAGATAGCCAGTTCAGGCTCTATATGCCCAATTGCTAGGATTCTTAGCTAAGGTCATTCTCATAGATTCCTGGGAGTTTCCATTGCCATAGGTTTCTAGCTTGTTCCAGACATCCCCCCCCCACCCCCATTCCGGTTGTCTCTCCATGTACTCTCTTTCTCCATCCTCTCCCAACCTGATCCTTCCTGTTTCCCACCTCTACCCCATTCAGCTCCCCCATCCACCCATGATGTCTATTCTATTTCCTCTTCTCTGAGATTCATGAGTCCCCCTTGAGTCCTCCTTGTTATTTATTTTCTTTGGGTCTGTGGATTGTATCATGGTTATTGTTTATTTTGTGACTAATATCCACTTATAAGTGAGTCCATACCATGTTTGTCTTTCTGGGTCTGGGTTACCTCATTCAGGATGATCTTTTCCAGTTCCATCTATATGCCTAAAAATTTCACAATGTCATTGTTTTTAAAAGCAGAATAATACCCTATTCTGTAAATGTGCCACATTTTCTTTACCCATTCGTCAGTTGAGGGACATCTAGGTTGTTTCCAGTTTCCTGGCTATTACAAATAAAGCTTCTATGAACATAGTTGAGCAACTGTTATTGTAGGATGGTAGAGTCTACTTTGGGTATATGCCCAGGAGTGGTATTGCTGGGTCTTGAGGTAGATCAATTCCCTATTTTCTGAGAAACCAATTTGCAAAGTGTCTGAACAAGTTTGCACTCCCACCAGCAGCAGGAAAGTGTCCCATTGTTCTCTTGCTCCACATCCTCACCAGCATAAGCTGTTACTTGAATTTTTGACCTTAGCCATTCTGACAGATGTAAGATGGAATCTCAGAGTCATTCTGATTTGCATTTCTCTGAAGGCTAAGGATGTTGAACATTTCTTCCATTGCATCTTGGCCATTAGAGATTCCTCTGTAGAGAATTCTCTGTTTAGATCTGTACCCCATCTTTTAATTAGATTATCTGGTTTGTTGATGTGATGTTGGAATTTTCATTGCCTATAAATTCCATATGACACAGAATTAATTCTTAAAATATAGAAAGCATTGTCAGACTATAGGATTTTTTTAAACAAGTGTTGAACTGGAAACTATAATCAAGGGCTATGGTTCAGCAAGGCCTGTTTCAGATGTTTCCTGTGAGAAATCTCTGAGAAAAACTGCTAGCTACTAGCATCCTCAGTCCTGGTAAGCCACTGAGCTAAGGAACATGACTACATTTTTATGGCCTCATGTTTTTAACTATTCACATATATCAAATTTTGTTTCCTTCAAAATAATTAATTGGAAATGTGAGATGTATTGTTTTTATATATGTCAAAGTATTTACATTCAGAGATGGTGGCATGTTCCATATATAGTAGGCATTTGATCGTACTGACATTTTTTTAGACTGTCAGCTTTGGGGAGTTTTGAGACCAGGTCTTTCTGTGTAGCCCTGGCTGGATTGGAAACTGGCTAAGTAGACCAGGGTGTTCTTGAACTTGAAGTGATCTTCTACTTCACCCACTGAGTGTTGTGATTATAGGCATGAACCTGTCTCTCAGAATGTCTTGAAGAAGTTCAGGTTTATGTAGGTGTATGTACAGCCTATTGCCTTTCAGCAAAGAAACAAGAAACCCAAAGATGTGGTTTAGGGTTCAGTCTTTGTGCGTGTGCGTGTGCGTGTGCGTGTGCGTGTGCGTGTGTGTGTGTGTGTAGCGTGTAGCCCTGGCTGTCCTGGAATTCATTCTGTAGACCAGACTGGGCTTGAACTTACATAGACTTCCCTGCCTCTGTCTCGTGAGTGCTGGGAGTAAAGGCATGCACCACCACTGTTCACTAGTTTCCTGCTGTGTATACATAACTATCACACACAGGTAATTCCAAATACCTTGCAGTTCTTTTATTAAAATACCATAACCTATCAGCATTACATTATCTATTTACTGTAGAAAGCTATCACAGTAAGTAGGCATAGCCACAAAAGGAGAGGAGCCTGTTCAAGGTGTCTGTCCCCCCAGCAGTCTCTCATCATGTCCACACTAAATTCATAGGACCTTGATGAAGAGCTTGTGTACACCTCCCATTCTATTCCTGGACATTTTGAGGGATGTTGCTGCCTGTTGTTTATCTCATATGCAGAGTAAAGTTTGGTGGACATAGTTGATTGCTAGATTTTCTTCTGTTGCCCACACTCTTGTATTCTTACAAAACTAAAAATTGTGTGTTTAGTTTTAGAGGGAATTACTATGGCAGAACTGACACAAGCTGTGTGTTCTGCACTCTGTAATCCTTTTTCGTGTTACAGTATTGGAGATGGAACCTGGGTCCCATGTGTTGTTAGGCAAGAGCTCTCTGATCTGTGTCCCTAACCTGCACATTCCCATGTTTGACAGTCTACATGCATCTCCAACATCTTGTCCTCACTGTGAGAGTACAGCATAGGAAGAACAGCCACTCTGGAATAGATGGCACATTAAGAGTTACATAACCTTAGCTTGTCCTGAAATGGAAATCAATTACTTGTGCTGGGTTTGGAAAACCTTATTGAAGTTCAGCCAACTTGTCTGTACCATAATCTACCCTTTTCATTTCTTGTACTTGATATTTAGATTGTAGTATTTAAACCATCTTCTGTCAGAAAATACCCTCTAAAGAGCATTAATATTTGAAACTAATGATTTGAACTTCCACCCCTTGGATGTTTTGTTTATATTAAAGCATCAACTGTGACTCCAATTTGGTCATATTGCTTATATGCATAAAATGAAATGTTATAACATATCTATAAAATACACGTTATTCTGTGTTGATAGCTAATGAAAGTAAAATAAAAATACCACTGATGAAACATGAATTCTGACTACATATTTCTCTCTCTTATATCACACGAGGACTTACAAACATGACATGACTTTCCTGAAGAAACTGCAGACTAATATATAATAAAGCTGTACTGGCCACAGTTCTTAAGTACATTGACTGTTTAATAGAGGCAAAGAAGGTTGAACCATTATATCTAATAATTTTGAACAAAGAAATTCCAACAAAATGATACGGAATAAATGCATTTTAATATTATACATACGATTACGAACAGGTAATCTCAAATAGTTCAATCACTTTCTTATTGGTACATGTGATGTGCGATTTGGTAATTATAGTTATTTATGTTTTCTTACTAAGAAGTGTTCTGTTCATTCAAGCAGAGGGCATTTCCAAAGCTAGCTAGCAGATAAGTACCGATAATGGCACTATACCCAGTAAACTCAGACCCTTAGTAAAATTGCTCTCTCTAGTGTTAAGAAAGTAGTAATTTTTTTTAATGTTAGAATATTATGAAAGTTTACTCTCCTTAAGTTATATTATCATGTCTGTTCTTTATGGTAAGATACACCTTTTAAACCTCTACCATCTTTTTTTTATTCGATATTTTATTTATTTACATTTCAGATGCCATCCCCCGTCCCGATTCCCCCTCCCCCATTAATCCACCATATTAATGTGCATTTATAATAATGCAGGCCTTATCCAATGTCATTTCATTTGACTTACGTCTTTGTGATTTTGTTGTTATCCTTGTTATAAGTGGGAATTGGTAACTACTGTGTTTGATGTATCAGATCAAACAAAATTTCTCAGTTATTACAAAAATATTATTGTGATTGGTAGTGTGTTTTAAAATGACAGTGGCTATTACATTTCATGTTGCTAATTTTGTAGAAACCAGATAAATCTTTTGTGTGTGTGTGTGTGTGTGTGTATGTAATTTGCCTGCAGTATAGGAATGGAATGCAGTTCATTTTACTATATGCCTGCAGACTAGGATTTTTCCCATATATGTACAGGGAAAGTAGTTAAAAGTTATTTCCTTAGTTTATTGCTTATTTAAAGAGTCACTAACTCAGCTTCTTTTTAGTGAATGTTAATATATTTGTGCAGTGATTTCCTTGGAGGAGTCTGGACACTAAAGACTGAAGCAGCCCCTGGGGTAACGGTCTACATTGGGGTCTCCTCGCTTGGGTCTCCACCTTCCTGTCCTTTGTTCTTGTTTGCCCCAGATGTTGATGAAGACTTTGAGCACCTCAACATGCTTGTCAAGGACTTTCTGAAAGACTTGCAAAGAAAAAAATAGATGAATGGATCAAGGCAGGCGTTCAAGGATGTTAGCCATAGGGTGCTCTCCTTCACGTAGAACAGAGTGTTCTCGGCGCTGCAGTCAAAGACAGCCCGGGTTTGGCTCAGGGTATAGGGGATCCGTGCAAAATGGAAGGGAACAAAGCAAATAAAGAACACAGCAATGATGATGAAAACTTTGACGTTCACCTTTTTCTTGGGAACTTTGGCTGAACCCCTTGTTCTGACATAGGACCTGTAGAGTTCTTTTGTAATGAGGCTGTAACAAACAATGACAATTAAAAAATTAATCCAGAAAATGACTTGGCAGATGTAATTGACTATTTCGTGCCAGACCAGACCAAACTCGGACTTTAAGAAAGAACATTTTGTTATGTCCTTATCTTTTGGCCTTCTGTTGGTGAGAATCATGTTAGGCAGTGAAAGTAAAAACATGAAGGCCCAGATGACAACAGAAAGAATCTTCGCACCCAAGAGATTGCTCGGGCTGGAAGTTTTAAACGGCCTGGTGGTCTTCAGGTAGCGGTCAATCGTTATCAGCCCAAGGAATGAAATACTGATATACATTGTAAAATAAAATGTGACTGAAGTAACTTGGCACACCAGGGTTCTCAGAGGCCCGGCTCCCAGTTTGGCATCACTAAGAATTTTGAATGGAAAAGTTAGAATCATAAGAAGATCAGAGATGACCGTGTTCTTAAGAAAAATGATGAAGTTGGATTTACTGCGGATCTGAAAGAAAATCCTCATTGCCAAGCTGTTCGTGATGAGCCCAGCAAAGAACAGTACAGTGTAGAGCAATGGGAAGAGAACCTGAGTGATCTTGTAGTCTCTGTTGCACAGGCTCCTGGTCCCAGGGGAGAAGGTGGTATTGGCTGAGGTGGTATTGACACCAGATTTGTCCATGGTCCTGTAGGGGAGGGAGGGAGGGAGGGAGGGAGGGAGGGAGGGAGGGAGCGAGG